GGTAGAGTCGATTCACCAGAGATTTGGTCATGTACAAACTTTCAAGTTTCACACATGATCCCGATGTTGTAGTCTCCTTTGATAACTGACGAAGAACCTTATCACCAAGGCTCAACAATATTGGATTGTGGGCTTTCTCAATCATGTTCGTCTTTTCTTTTGTCGTTAATACATCGTTCATGGCTGTCTCTCCCTTCAACGCTTCCAAACAATCCTGCTGAATTGTGTGTCTCTTTCTAGCTCTTTAGTTTTCCCTTTTTAGTTTGCTATTTCGGTGAAAGAAATCACTGATTAAATCTTAAAGACTGATTTGGAGAAAGAGATGAAAAAGAAGGCGCCATAATTATAATGATTGATAAATTAAGATGAATCGTCACCATGGTAAAGAAGTTATAAGCCATTAATAAGATTCAAGCTAATTCTAAGTCAAAAACTTAAAGAGGAGACAAAGCTCCCTCACCATTCGCATAAAAAAGAAAACTTCAATTCATTTCAAACTTGTTCGAAAGAGGTTCCATAATATTTAATTATAGTAAGTGGTTTCATAAACTTAAATGAGTCATAAACACAACTTTCTAAACTCATATTGAGTTACATTATATTTTTTAAAAATAAGTAAAAGGAATTAAATATCAAGTAATTTTAAATTAAAACTATTACAATTTTAAAATTAAAACTAATAAAATTACTACAAAATAAATAAAAATAAAATATTTAATCTCTTTTTCATTGATTGGTCCTCACAATTGGTGTTAGTGTAAACCTAAATATCAATAGTTTTATTAGAATTTATTACTCGAATCAAATTATCTATTAATAATAATAAGATTTTTTTATTATATTTGTTAAAGTAATAACGTCTCTAGAATAGCTATTTCGTTTGATGAAACATTAAACGTGACTTAATCGTGAGACCCCATTAAACATAAGGATCCTAGATGTGGAGTCGGGTCTTTTGTTGATGTTCAAACGTTGTATGTAACAAGATCGTTATCAAGATGGCTGATGGTACTCCATAAATCATGTTGAATGACATGGCATACCTAGATGAAATTATTCTATCCTGCGTATTAGGATAAGTGTCTAAGGACTCAATATTGAAGTTGTTGTGAATTAGATACCTTTAAACAAAGTATAAACGGTTTCTTTATGATCAAGAAATACACAAGGGTTAGGGTTAACAAAGAAAACAAGGTAAAACAACAAGGAACAACAAGGATTGGTTATAAACTGATATTATTTCCTTACTCTTAGAACAAGATTACAAGTATACAATAATAACAATAACCTCTCTCTCTTGAAATTAGGATTTTATCTTTCTATTTTTCCTTATTTTCAAGATTGAGAAACTAACATCCTATTTATAATAAAAACATCACACTAACCTAACGGGCTTTTTAATAATTACCCATTACAAGCTAACTTATGGTACAAGTTAACTTAAACACTTGGGCTTACAAGAAAGGCCCAATCCAATATGTTAAAAACCTAGCAATATTGACTAATGCATGTTCGAACAAACTTCGACTACAACACGCATTATCTTCAACAGCAGCATGCGAATAGACTTCGACCTCATGCTTAACCTTTCAACCATACTAGAGTTCGATCCAACATCTCACAGAAGTGGACAAAGGTGACATGGTATATGTCATGTGTTCAATATAGAAATGAAGAAAAGATGGTAATTGTACACATAAACATTATTGTGGTAAGATTGTCATATCACAATGCATTTTTGTGACTTAGATAACAGTGACATATTGCTAGATACTGCTAACTATTTATTATATTAAATGTATGATTAATATAATTGTCAAATCACAAGAATCTATAGGGTTACACACATAAAGACATATTGATGAGAGATAAAATTAATAAGTAAAACTTATTCGATTGTATGGTCTTGCAAAACACAGTAGTTAATTAGACAGATGTGATACTACTTCGACCTTATTTATAAGTAAAAAAATACAATTTTCACGCTTATTCAAAATGACATATGAGTGTATTTAATTTTCTTGATTTCATATAAAAGATATAACATAATTACTAATATACCCTCAGTTAAATTGTATCCACTAAAATATTTTGTAATTAATACATAGATAGTTTTGAAAAAGGTATTAAATTAGCCTAGACTTATTAACATTTGCTTATATTTAAGACAAAAAATTAGAAGACTTTTTCTTATATATAAGACCGAATGGAGTACACCATAAGAAACAATGTATCCTAGTGGAATACGATACACCGAGTCATCTAATTGTGTTTTGGTTGATCTTTTTTTATGATTCAACCTACTTTGAGTTGGGTTTACAAAGGTTTTTGAGGGAGGGTCGAAATTTTGATGTTTGGGTAATGTTTTCTTTATTACCCATACTACATGGGTTTCTTTGTAATTTGTCATCATGAAACCCTTTTATACACAGTAATAATGTGTTGAATAGTAGTTGCCACCAATGTTATGTGACATTTAATCCATGTGGATTTTTTTTGGTCATGTAGCCTAGTGGCTGGTATTCACCCTTTAAAGGCGAACAAGTGGAATGTAGCGGGTTCAAACCCATAACTCTACACCTGATGTTCTTTCATAACTACCAACTAAGCAAATTTAATGGGTCAATCGACGTGGTTTTCATTATCTTGAACTTCTCTAGCAATTTATCACTGCATAATAATGAGGCATTAATTACTATTAAACTGTGTTCCCTCCTCCATTAATAGATTATCCTCCTTCCACTATGATTAATATCCTCTAGTCATCAGCATCAACATCCATCTCAACCTTATCCATATTATATAGGCCTTTTTTTACCTGTTGAAATTCTTCTTCTTTAGCTTGAAACAAAGGACGGGTTTGAATGGATTTGTAGGTAAATCATGTTTTCTACTTTTTTTCATAATGTTTTGAACCTTTTGTGCATATGCATCATTTTCTTGTTGATTGTGTCTTCTTTTTACCTCATAGTGATCATCTTGTATCATATTAGTCTCATTCTCTACTTTTCTGTGGTATGACTCAGTATGGTATTGTTTATTGTGCTCCCTTCTAATAAGCATTTCTTCAATTTCCTAAATAAATTTGACAGTACCTTGGTATGTCCACAAATAATTGTGTCCTCTCAATGATGATAGTATCAAACAGTCTTGCAAATATTCTTTCATTAATTACTTAAATAAATATGAAAAAACCAAATTTGTGTCCATTATTTTCTCTCCTTTGTGGAATAACTACTTTTATACTTGAGCATGACTATAACACCAAAGTTGTGATGTATTTCAGTGAAGAAATATGATATTGAATACATGTAGTGTATTTTTCTTCTGATATAAATGTGTGTGTATGTGTGTGTGTGTGTGTGTGTGTGTGTGAGAGAGAGAGAGAGAGAGAGAGAGAGAGAGTGTAGTGTAACACGACATTGACGCCCATAAATCACATTGATTTCCAACCTTGTTCAAAATGTTGGCATCAATTTCTAGATAATTAGTATCGATGCCTTAAGGCTTCGTTTAGATGCAAAAAGAAAGAAGAATGAAAGAAAGTAAGGGAAAAGAATGTTAAAGGATTCAAAGTGAGTAGAAAGTGAATGGAAAGTAGTGTGATTTTTAAATTGTTTGGTAGGAGTGAAAGTGAATAAAAAGTGAAAGAAAAGAAAGATATTTATATTAAAATTATATAAATACCCATAAATGAAACATGAGATATTAGGGTTTTTTTGTCTTTTTTCACTTTATCATTCTTTCATTTTACTTTCTCTCCATTTTTAGAGGAAATATTATTAAGGTGTGTCCCAATAAAAATATTATTTTCTTTCGCTTTTTTGTGCAAACGAAACAATAGAAAAATATTGAAATTTGAGCTTCTTTTCTCAAACTTTCTTTCCACTCTCTTTCACTCAAACCAAACATACGATAAGTTCTTGGGTGAATAAAAGATCAACAAATGACACACTTATTCTAAAACACTATTAAAACTTAAGAGAAGACTACTACATCTAGGAGACAGATGCCCTCATAATTATATTGTGATGTCTCCATAAAATACTCAATTTTAAAAGTATCGCCGTTTAAGATTTTTATACACATATTAAGGAATGCAATAATATTGTCATAATATATTATATTTTCAATGAATTAACTTTATTGATCATTTAGAATATGTTTAAAGTAGTGTATAAAGTAATAATTAAAGTAATAATCAAATAATATAATTGAATATGAATTAACTCATAAGTAGTATATAAAGTAATAATTAAATAATATAATTGAAAAAATAATAATTATTTTTACATTAAAAAGTGAAAAAAGACAATTATTTAAAACAAATTTTATTTTCTAAAACGATAATCTTTTTAGCAAATAAAATATGTTTTTAAATGACTGTTATTTCACTTTTTAATGTAACAATAATTACAATTTTTTCAATTGTATCATTTGATAATTACCTTGTACACTAATTTCAATATTTTAATAAAATTAATTTAGTAAAATATAATATCTTATCATAATATTATTACATTCTTTAATTTATATGTAAAAAATTTAAACGACAGTTATTTTAAAATGGAATAAGTAATTCAAAATATAGTAAAAGTCAAAAAAAATGCAAGATTCGAAAGTAGCCGACCGTAACTTAAACTATGAATTTTAATGAATTAGATTTTAACTAGAAACATAGGTAATTGAATTAACTTTTTGAGAATACATAATCAAATGGATTGAACAAGTACACCACTCAAGATATGATAAACATCACACATCGATACCTAATAAAGTTCAAATGAACAAAAAAAGTTTTAATATATATATATATATATATATATATATATATATATATATATATATATATATATATATATATATATATATATATATATATATATATATATATATATATATATATATATATTATTTTTCAATAATCAAATGTGTTGTGCTTTTTATTGAATATCATAAGTTTAGACCATTATTTTATTTAACATATTTTGGTGGTGCAGAAAATTAGCCAACTCTTACTTCATATTGCTCATTTGGATGAAGCCTTGTCATCACGTCGTAGGATTCATGTGTATCAAATTGTTGGCTAATAAAATTGGAGAGTTAATCAATGTCGTGAGATTTGCTACGGATTCATCTTGAATTTTTTAGACTACATATATATTGTAATGTGTATATGAGTTTGGTACTTCATAACTACATATTATAGTGTAAATAAAATCTCAATAACTAAATAAAAGGATTTAATAATTTTTATATTATTCATTAACCACAATCAGATACTTAACGATATTTGAGTTTTATCATAATTGTTATGTTAAAGAGTCAGAAAGTTGTGGTGAAATGATAAAGTAGAGGTGTGGTACGGTGAAGCAAGATTTTTATATGGCGGAGAGGGGGTTATAATCAGTTCAGAGTCACTAACTAAGTGAAAAGTAGCATGAAAGTGAGAATGAGTTGAATATTTGAATTGACGGTCTTTATATAACTGGCGGGTTAAAACCATTCGGGTGTGATCCAACACCTTGTGCGGGTTGTCATTCGATTAGATATTATGGTGATGGATGTTATGGAAGACATGACGATATATCCTCAAGAAGGATGAGAGTCCACCTGTTATGCACGTCTTCCTCTTTAATACTTGTTATTGCGTCTTTTTCATGGGCCTTATGTTGCGGTGAGAATAGGATATCAAATTATTAATTAATTTGAATCACATCTTTAATTCACAACCGGTCTTTGATTTATCCGAAGGAAAGGTTAAAGAAAGGAAAAACCTATTTTGCATCGTAAACACAATGCGGGGAAAGATCTAGGGTTCGGGGGTTGGTTAAGTTTAGGGAAGGTATTAGCACCCTAAATTTCTGTAGTACTCTACAGGAACCTCTTGTGTTAATGTTGCTATTTTGCTAAAATTATCTGCTTAAGGGATATGTTAAGGGTTAAAGGTTAAGAAAAAAGACCTAAGGGTTAGTCCTAAGTTTACTCGCCAAGATTCGCATCTTGTGCCTACGTATCCGAGGTAGGGGATGGAATCAGAGTAATCGTAGTTCCCCTCGAAAGGGAGGAAGAGAAACTTCTTGACAATGGTCAAGGTTTCAAGGGGATGATAAACGTTCATAAGGAAGCATTTACGTGGAGTTCAGCGACTCCTATCTCTACGTTGTAAATTGAATTGAAAAGGGTAAGCTAGGTATTCCACAACGGGAAACCTAATATGGAGTGCGGCGACACCTTATCCTAATGCTAGGGTAAAGGGTAAAATTGTCCACGGCGGGACGCTTGTGCAATTAGGGTTTGAAAGGTGAAAGAGTCAAGAATAAGGACTATTGACGCGGCGGTCAAACGGCTAGACCTATCCTTCAGAGGAAAATTAACGGAGAGATAAATATAATGAAAAATAAATAAGTAACAATACTGAAATATGGAAAAGTGTGCAAGAATAATGACGGAATAAGAAGTGGCGATGTCCTCACACAAATTACAACCATGAAAAATAAAATACGGAAAGATACGAGGTTAGTAAACAAGGACAAATAGCGACATAATGTTAGGAATGTCATAAACATCAGACAAAATTAAACGGGGTAAGGTTAGGGATCAAATTAGCAATTAGGTAACGGTTCAATTAGAAACTAAAAGTGAAATGTTAGAGAATTAGGTTAGACATGTTTTTAAGAAAAGTTTTAATTAGAAAAAAAAAATTGTATCAATAAACTAATAACTAAATTAAAGAATTACTAGATTTATTAAAAATGTTAATTTTAAATTATAAAATTTTAAATCTATTGAATTAAGAAAATTAAATTTTAAATTAAGTTTTAAATTAAGTTTTTAATTATAAGAACTAAATAGAATTGATGTTTTTTTTTAACAGAATTTAATAAATAAATTAAACTACTAAAAATCAAAAATTAAAAAAAGAAAATATAAACGGAAGGGGTCAATTGAGAGTTGACAATTTTAGGGTTTGGAACCCATTCCCTCTTCTTCTTGCGCGGCGCATCATTCCTCTTCATCTTCTCTGTCGGTTTTTCTTTCATTTTCGTCCGCCATGGGCATGCTTTTCTTCTTCTCCGAGCTTCTTGATGATTTATGCAAAAACAAATAACAAAAATACTCCGTTAGCACAGATTGCTCACCCTCTTTTTATGGGTTTGAAGTGATTTGGCTAGCAGCGGATGACAGTGGCGCTATGATGATGAGACGAAGATTTTTCATCTCTCTGAGCCTCTCTACTCATGGCTATTATGGGTTTTGGACGGTGCTCAAATGGTGATGATTCCGCGATGACGTTCACATCTGCGGTTGAACGAAGCTGATGAAGTTCTGATGAACTTCTGTGTTGGTGATTGTTCTTTGATGTTGTTCTATTGTGATGAACAATGGTGGTGTTCCCTTGAGATTTCTGTCGCAAATCTACTCTAAATGTCTTAGGTTTCTTCAAAACGCCTCCTCTTTCTTGATGTTCTAATGAAGAACTTTATATTGTTGTTGTGGTTTCTAGGCCTGGATCTTTTACGTTTTTTCGATTTAAGTTATTTTGATTTGTTGAAACAAACTTACGGATTTGTTGTTGTTTTTGTGGATTTGTTGTTACGATTTTTATGTTTGATTGAGGGTTTGGAAACAAAAAGATGCGGATTTGGTTGTTCTTGAGATGGATTTACAAGTGTTTTGGACCGTTGGATTTTTTCTGGCTTGTTTGGATATCCATATTGTGTTGGATCTGGATATGGATTTGGTATTGGTTGGATATGGATTTTGCAATTTGGATATCCAGATTAGTTTTAATGATTTTTATTACTTGTTTGGCTGGCAAAACTCATTTTTCCTCAAAAACCTTTCTCTCTCTCAGAAAATTTTTGAACATATATTGTCGGGTTGTGCCGGGGTCGGAAACGGAAGACAGGAGCTGGCGGCGACCTTGTCGTTGTTGCCCTCCCGACATACCCGATGATGATAATTTTCTGAGGGTATCACCACAACTAAAAACCATTTTTGATAAAAGTTAATTCTAACCAATTGACGATTTTTTTGCTGTTCTCTGTTTTGCAGGTTCGAAGATTCGAAGATTGAAGATCGGGCGTGAAGAATTCTTAGGAAAATTAGGAACTTTTAGGAAAAAGTTAGGAACTAATTTGTAATTTTCACAAATGTAACTATTCTTGGATAAATTCAATTTTTTTAATAAATGAATTCTTATTTTCCGACCAAATTTCTCTGAATAAAATTTGACGTTTCAACATCCGAATTCGACAACTAACCACTTTGCACAATACCGGAAATTAAATTACATCCGACGTAACTTCTGAGTTCAACTGGACCCCTTGAAAATTAATTCGCACTTGATAATAAAATTAGTGAATACGACCTTGAACAGATAAACAGAGAAATCCAATTTAACGGAAAAATAAACTTTACTCCGCATTTAAAATCCAACTTGTATCCTGAATAACCTATCATTGTAACCTAAATCGATTCGACTACTACTCGTGATCAAACCAATTGATATTTGTTATGAATTCAATGCAAACCGAAAATCCACTACTCCTCTGAAAATTAACGGGTAACCAGTAGAAACACAGGAAAACGTGCACTTGCTAGAATAAATTCCTTGAAACCGATTCTCGCACCGATTCAACCCCAAATTCATTTATTTCAACGCCCTCGACTCCATATGGTTTATGAATCAAACAACATTTCAAAATCCAACTGACGACAAAATCCCAGTTCTTGCATAAAGATGTATTGTGTCAAGAGGGATCTGACATCAAAAATTCAACCCATTCTCAAAATAAAAAAACCTGCATGATTTGGAGATAGAAACCCTAATTGTTTGAGGAATCTCTGATAATGACTTTGCCTCGTAATCATCAACAGACTGTAAATTAACGACCTTTTTGCACTTTCTAAATTAAAGCGTACACAGTGTTATGTTTCCTGCGAAACAAACAGACTGAGCACACCGGTTAACGGTTAGTTAAAATGCAATGCAGAATGTAATGAAATGTGAAATGAACTTGATGATCTAAGGGTAAAATTTGGGGTATGACACCTTACATACGACCAAGAACAATTTTCCTCCAAGTCATTGTTTCTACATCGTAGGACGAGGGCTTCGCCAGATTCGTCTTTGGTTTGGCCTCTTATACAAGAAAACTGAGCCTTAATGGGATGTTGGATGTCATTGGGAAAATGCATTAAATGTTTCCCTCGTGACCAACAATACTTCGCAAGCACATCTCAACATGTGTCCCTATGTTTGAGGGTAATGAATCCTTCTAAACTAGGGCATTTGAGTATTCTTGAACAACATGCGATGAGATTTTGATCGTTGGTGATGTGGTTCTTGCTTCCCAATGTTGAGGATAGCATGGATCATCTTCCCTTGGGGGTTTATATATGAAGTTTTATGGTTACTGTGTTTCCCTTTTCGCCATTTGTGAATCTTTGATAACTTTTCTCTCAAGTCTACAACCTCTTGCAACTTTGAAAAATAACCTTCCATAAACAAATATCAACAGAATAGCATATACTTTGTTAGTAGGTTAGTGACTATAAACAAAGTATGCTTGGATAGACAAATATAAGTTGAATACTTAAAATGATAAAAACTATCGTAATGTCTTCAAAATCAAACATCAGTCTGCATCAATGGGGCCATTTTCTTGTAGTGCATATAACAGGTGTAGTTTTTATCGTCTCCACGGGGACAAGTTTTATTTTAAAGACTGTTCAATAGTTTTTATGATTTTAAAAAATGTTTATGAGATGGTTGACTGTTTATGAATATTGAAATGTAAAATAACAGAAAATAAAATGAATTTTGGTCTTTAATAATTGATAAAACTTGATGGGGTTAGATTATATTTGACATATTCTCATATAATATCCTTTTTCAATAATATTAAATTTTAATCAGTTATTAATATTATTGTTTGCTGCTCTCATCGCAACCCATAGACGATCTCTCAGCCTATTAATCAATATGACAATATTAAGATTCAACAATTCATACGGATATTGAATCTAAATATATGTCTAGACTTTAGCATATCCAATAGATGAAAATCTTGGATATAGTAAT